GAACAATCATCACAATAAATACATTTTACCTGTCTGTAAAGAGTTTGAACTACGTAGCCTGCCAAGGTGCTTCCTTGTGTGCCCTACACTGAGCGGACTGATGATGTATGGGTTGCACTGCTGGGCACTGATGGGTGGCACTGACTGCTGGGCACTGGGTGGCACAGGTGGGTGGCACTGCTGGGCACTGATTATCAGTGCTGATCCGTCCTCTGACAATTGCCAGTTATTGGCACTACTTTCCTCAGTCTGACAACGTAAGGAAAGTGCAGTCGATAACTAGCAACTGCATTTATTGGTGATCTGCTGTGTCATTGGACACAGCTGATCGCGTGGAAAAAGGCCGCTGTGATTGGCCTTTTACCACATCACGTGATCAGCTGTGTCCGTAGGATACAGCGATCACGGAGATTGATGGGTGCGTGCCACCAGGGCACGCAGCAGGGCGTGTCCAGGGAGGACGTCATATGACGCCCTGGCAGCACTGGACAACCGCGTTGTAGCCATCATTCGGCTATAGCGTGGTTGGCAAGTTGTTAAAGAACAGCACTTGACAGGCAGGCCCCAGGGCCCCCTGGAGCAGGGGCCAGGTCGCAACTGCAACTTCTGCGACCCCTGTTGTTACACCAGTGATTCCTGCCACAAAGTGCTGCAGCGTGTGTACACCTCCAATGACTGCCTCTTTACCTAAAGAGAGTAGTGGATGGGGTTTAGTAACCATGTGGCTCAGTTGCAGGGTCTTACCACCCCCAACCACTAGCGTGAATGAGCCCTTACTGTAAACTTGATTGTGCAGACTAGACCTACATTATGTAAAAAAATCAGACACATCATAAGGTATAGAGCATGTACAGACCCAAAGGAGCACAACCTCCTCCATCCCTCCCTCTCCCTCTGTCAGTGATGTAAGGGGAGTGGGGGATACTGATATTATTTGCTGCCTGAGCCTCTGATTGGCAGCCCGCAGACTTTTTTTTCTTGGTTGAATCTGAAAAGATATGTCTTTGACTACTGTAAAAAAAAAAAAAAAAAAAAATAGAAATCCGCTTTCCTGGTCAGTATTTTGTGCCGGTGAGCATAAATATTAAAGAATTTTCCCTAATATGTTGTGCGCGCAAATGTGCAAACAGGCATAAATACATGTGAAATGTGCGCAAAAGAAATGCCTGAAAGTATGTTCAAAAAAAGCAAATGCTTAAACATCAGTACCGAGTACAAGAGGCCTTAACGTGTTATTAAACCCACACCAGTAAAATCAGTCTGTATATGCAGTAAAACATGTTTTATACGCACTGTGCAACCTAAGGGCTTAATTCTCTGTATTGTGTAAAGAGGATGTTAGATCCTGTCTTCTCTGATCCTCCCCTTCTTCCACTGTCCCCAATATAACTCCTGATAGAACAGAGGCTTGGAGACAAACTGCACATGCTCAGTTTGATGTGTATTGCTAGAGAATTTTTTTTTTCTTGAGAGAGTGCATGCGATCAGCACAGGGCCAATCAGCACTGTCCAGACAGAGAGTCAGGGGCTCCTGCAGCATCATAGGACAGTCAGGAGAATGAAAACTCCTCCTACACGATTAACCAGTGCTCAGCTGGACACTGATAGAAGTCACAAGGCTGTTATATACTGCTGATGAGAAAAGGTATTCAGCGGTTTATATTGACTAAAAGATTTGCATTTCCATGTTCTGTGTACTCTGAATGCAGGGTCCTGGGCTTAGTAACACTGGAATAAATGATGAAATATGCAACTACCTTTTGTTCTAAGGAGGCATTACTGGGTTATAATTACTGAAGTCAATCCATCACAGCAATTTAGATGTATTCCAAGAAGGTCTATTTGGTTTTAAAGTGTTACTAAACAGTAAAATCAGCCTGTATATGCAGTAAAGCATGCTTGTTATAGTCACTGTGGAACCTAAGGGGTTAATCCTCTTTCTTCTCTGCTCCTCCACTTTTTCAAGCGACTACCTCTTATCTCCTGATAAGACTAGTGTGAGGAGTCATTCTGCACATGCTGAGTTTGGGTGTGTGTGTTGTTAGGTTTTATTTTTGCTCTTGGGAGAGCGCGTGTGATCAGCACAGGGCCAATCAGCACTATACAAACAGAAGTCAGGGGTTCTGCATCCTCCTAAGACCTAGAGCAGAAAGAAAACTCCTTCAAGCTTTAACCAGTGCTCTGCTGAAGTCACAAGATTGCTCTAACTACTGATGGGAAAAGGTATTTAGCAGTTTCTATTTACTAAAATAATTGCATTTCCATGTTGTGTGTACTGTGGGAGATCGGATATAGCGAATGCAGGTCCTGGGTTTAGGAGGAACACTTTAAAACCTTGCAACGTTTGAGCTGCTACACCTGGATTCTATGGCACTTGACAAGCTGTCTGCTATCGCACAGCACATGGTTTACCAACATGGAGAAGCCCCGCCCTAACATTGTTACCTTTCCAGCGAATTCATACTCTTCTTCTCCTCCCACTATTGCCCAAAACAGAACAAGGGGCGTGTCTGCACGGTCTAGCATGAGGCAGAATAAGTCCCGCCCTGTCCAGCAGGCACGCCCCGCTACACGCTTGTCCCGCCCCTCGGTGCTCACGCTGGATGTAGGGATTCGTCCACCATGGAGCTGCAGCTGTTGGAACACCGGGTGCGGGTGACCAGCATTGACAAGGTTGGCCTGTGGTTCTACACACACCCCGCTCGTCAAGTTACTCTTCCTGCGGCACCGGACGAGGTGGGTGCACCGGGGAATGAATGGTGTCCCGCCCCCCTCGGGTGGAGGGTTTATCCCCCCCCCCATACGCAGGGGACCTCGAGGTCACGTGGGGCCAGCCCCCATTCATGGACCCAGCCTGACTGGAAGATATAACGTTCTTTATGGGACCGACACCTTCTATAGATGGAGGCTGAGCTGTCCCTTCCATGAACATATGTTTTCTCAGCCAGGAGAGGTGATGTGCCCTGGAGATCCATCCTGCCTTCTATATAGAGAGCAGGATGGAACATACTGTGGAATCAGCTGGACTATGGGCAAACTAAAGGGCTTCCCTTGTGGTGGCCCTGCAGGGGTTAACTGATTGTGGATCCTGTGGGTGCAGCAGGGTTTACTTCTCTGATCTCCCTGCACAGTGATAGGTTGGTCCCTGCAGCCTCCAGGGGTCTACAGCTCAACACACACATTACAGTCTTCATTAGATCTCCCAACAACTATGTAGTGCAAGGGCCTCCCTGATTGGGTTGCTTAGGTAGGTCCTCGTAGCTTTGGTACACCTACAGTCAGATTGCAGTGTGTATGCTGACCCTAAGGTCTTCTTGCATCACCAAGACCAATGCAGGGACCATAGCCCTGCATTGAATATGAGGATGTCAAGGGACAGTCCACAGCTAAAATATAGGGGAGCATTGTCCACCAGAGAAGCGGAGGAACAGGTGAGTAAAATGCTTTAAGGGTCTGTTCACTCTATAGAAGCGCGGTCCAGATGCATTTCTACATGCGTGTTTCTGGTGCATTTTTTTATACATTCCAGTTTTTTCCCCTTTTTTTTTTCATTTTAAATAGGGACATGTGCGTTTTTGATGTGTTTTTACCACATTCCAGTACAGTTCTGTGCAGGAAAAATGCAGCATGTTCTACTTTTTTTTTTTTTCTCGAACTGCAAGCGCTGATGTGAGCTAGGACATTGACAGCCATATAACCTACTTTCTGTGCGTTCTGGATGCAGAATAAATGCAACTGAGACGCATGTAGTGTGAACTGGCCCTTACTGTTCCCTAGACTGAAACAAGCAGTTAGTCTTTATAAAGGGGACCCTAGGACTTTCCCTTCCGTTTTCCCGGAGTTGGGTTTTAAATCTGCACATGCCATCACAGATTGTTCTCAGTCTGCCATTACTCTTCCTATAGATTGGCTTCTGTATTGCTTTCATCATCAACCTACTTTCTTTTGGATAATTTTTTTGTTCTTAGAAATGTTTGTGTTTTTTTTAATGTTTTTTTTTATTATCAGATGCAAGTTTTTCAGTTTGACGGAAACTCCAGAAGACTACACAGTGATGCTGGATGAAGAGGGGTTTAAAGGTATACACAATCCCTTTTGTATCACAGGTGTATAATGGAGTTCTGTAGTATACTCCAGTTTTTGTCATTTCTATTTAATTTGTACAGCATACTGTATTCACATCACTCTCTTCCCTCAAGGAACTTACAATAGAATGTCCTTATCTATCACACACACTTACTAGGGACAATGTAGACAGGAGCCAATAGCAGCATGTCTTTGGGATGTGGGAGGAAACCCACACAACCACAGGGAGAACATGCAAACTCTATGCAGGTAGTGTCCTTACTGGCATTTGAACTGAGGATCTCATTGCTGCAAACCAGAAATGCCAATAGCAGCATGTCTTTGGGGTATGGGAGGAAACCCATACAACCACAGGGAGAACATGCAAACTTTATGCAGGTAGTGTCCTTACTGGCATTTGAACTGAGGATCTCATTGCTGCAAACCAGAAATGCTAAGTGCTAAGCCCCTGTGCTGTCTTTACTGAAGGGATCCCCATACATTACTGCAATTTGCCTCTCAAACTGTTTTAATTTCGCCAATATAAAATACACCCTTGTGTACCCAAAGTAGTCAAATTCTTGTTGTGTTAAGAACTGGGCTCAGTGCTAAAAGATTCTTCATACTTCCCAACGCATATACCAATCATATCCGAATCAATCTGAACAGTGTGTGCTAATGTAGGTGACCACAATGAGATTGGATGCTCCATATGTGGTTTATTCAGTAATGTAAAGTGCGGTAAGTCCAGCAATGAATCCCAATTCATTGTTAACTTCAGTAAACTGAAATCTGATTGGTGGATATGAGTTAATGTCATTGAACTTAAAGCCCAATGAAGCCAAAACATTTTTTTTTTTTTTTTGTGTTCTAGAGAGTCAAAGCTTTTATTTTATTGTTGTGCTCATTGGAGAGATTACCCCACACTTACTGACCCAGTGACATCAGAACTAAAATTAAGAGGATTTTGACATCACCAAGAAATAGACAACCTGAGTAGTTTAATAACCTTTCCCCACCCTGCTAGATATATACAGTATGTTCTAGCCTTTCCCATTAGTGAAAGATTCTATCACTTCTCGTCCTTGTGACCTTCATAACAGGAGGTTAGGGGTAAATGTCCCCATTAGGGACCCATATAGCTGTAGAAACCTGACAGAGGTCCTAACCTTCCCTCAGCTAGAATAAATGTTTTGAGTTGGACTTTGCCACACATTACAGTCTGATTGTACAATCTCTATACATTTTTGTTAGCTTTGTCAACAACTTTGCAATGCCATTGACTACCTAAAAGTAATCCAATTGCATAGGGACATAAGCATTGCATTGATATTGGTTAATGTAATCTGCAATTTGGTTGTAGTGTGTGTTTGGGGGGGACTGATTTGTTTTATATCTGAGACCAGCCTTTCTCAACCTACAGCAAGGTTCTCCAAACTTTCAAAATAAAGGGCCAATTTACTGCCCTTCAATCTTTAGGGGGAATGGACTGTGGCCTGTAGGCGTAAACCATGCCATAGGCTTGATAGTCAGTGGAGGTAAAATAAAATTATGATTGGTGTCAGTGGGAGATATAGTGCCCCATCAATGGTGTCCGTAGGAGAATTAGTTCCCCATCTCTGGAGTCAGTGGGAGGACTAGTACCCTATTGTTGGTGTCAGTGGATGGAATAGTGCCCCAAGTTCCTTATAAAGGCAATCAAAGGCCTATATCCAGCCTGCAGACCTGTTTGGAGACCCCTGCTCTAGAGGAACCCTTTTAATATTTTTCAGATCTTGGAGAGACCCCTGCTGAAACAAATTCATAGGGGGTCAGTGGGAACAATACACCTTGCATCTGGGCTCAGTGGTAAAAATAAAAAAGCCTCTGGCCAGAATGCCACCCTTACAGACAGCTGATAAGATCACTGGTATCATGTGGCTGGCTCCCCCAAGTGGTGTTGGCCCTGGAGCTATCTAGGCACCTTCAATTAGGAGGTCAACCAGCCACAGCTCAAGGAACTCCTAGAAATCCCTGAAGAAACCATAAGGTTCCATGGATCCCTGGTTGGGAATGGCTGGACTAGAGTGCTCCAAAGTTACTTGTTTATAACCCTTTGGATTTGTGTTGTGCCCCAGGAAGGGTTTGCCTAGTGTGCTCACAGATTTTTATTTTTTTTTTTTTTTCCCATTCCCGCTCTTCATAATTGGCCACAATAGACAAAGATGATCATGGGATATGGACATTTCTGCTACTGGTGTCCCAGTTATCGTAACCCTCTGTAGATCACATCATGGCTGTGGACTGATGTATAACTATTTGACAAAGGGTGTCTTATCGTTCCTGTGTCAAAATTTAAAGGTGTTACTTGTAGGACTACAGCATCTGGCTGCTGATAGAATGAGCACATCAACCATACAATGTACATACTGTATATATACATTGCATTTGGACAGGTAGAGGGTGTAATGCCAGCAGGCATTTATTAAAGGATGTGGCAACTTGGGGAGATTCTGAAAAGTTAGGTGATGGCTGTAGTTAATAATTCTATTAGTTATATGGGTCTTGGAATTCATCCAACCCTGGCACAAGAACTGAAGCCTTATGACAATGTTATTGTGGCCACATACTTTGAGACTAGTCTGCCTGACCAAAATTAGGTGTGGTCGCAGCATTCTAGAGGAGAATTGGTCATGCACTGGCAATTGTTTGGATGTGGAAGGTTGGACCATCTGGACCACACATCCTACTGGGTGTAATAAAAACCGTTGTACAATGAACACATACTGAATAGGATCAGATTTTTTTCCTTCGACTGTCTGATTATTTGTTCTTTGTGGTTACTTGTGCAGTATTGGGCCCTGCACTCTGTTTTCTATTGGAGTTTACAGAGACAGGATCCATAGAATGTGCTACTGCCAGCACATTTCTGCTTCTGCTGCACCAGACTACAGAGAATTGTCCCAAATGTCTGTATAGAGAGAGTATGTCCCTACTTCTTGTCACCAATACTGTTGCAATGTTTAAACACTGAAGTGTATTGGAGCAGGCTTTGGTTAGATCCCACTGTAACAAACGTGTAAAGGAAATAATTCCAGGAAGGAAAGCAGACGCCCTTCTCTGTTATGATGGTTGCAGGGAGCCACCTTTTCCTATTGCTCAGCATGCTTGTACTTGTACCTCTCACAGGATGAGTAAGTGTGTGTAAACTAGAGCAGTACCTGTACAGGCAGTGTATACCCCACATGAAAATTAGAGCTGCTCCACTTCACGGCCTGCTAATGCTGATGCTGATTCATTGTCACTCTGGTAATTATAGTCATGAAGCTTCCACCTTCACATACCCAGTAATGACCCTGAGAACTTCTGTAGAAATGAGTCAAGTTTGCATTTGTTTCCTAATATTGATTGTAAAATGAATTTAGTTTGTCTGCTGCAGGTGGCACCCACCTTATTCTTTTACATGCCATTTCTTAAAGTGGTTGTAAGCCTCAGACATGAAATATGAACAAAGCATATTCCTCTATAGTGTGTACTTGTCTCAACCCAAAGACAAGTTTTCCTGACACCAAGAGAAAAATGGTGACGGGGAGGGACCTTCAGCAGATTGACTGCCTCATCTCTGTTCCTGTGTGAAGGGGGGGGTGGGGGTGTCTCTTCCCTCCTCTCCAGTTAGAGCCCTCCTAACTTCAGTTCTCTGCCCCCTGCTTTTCAGTGCTGAGAGATCCTGTATAAACTCTGCACTTTGGATGTAGGGGAAAGACGGTTGTAGACACAGGTACAACTTTTGTATCACCTAAGGCCAATCACTTCAATGGGTATGTGTAAGGGTTTACAACCATTTTTTTTTATTTATTTATTTATTTATTTATTTTTTTTTTAGCTCCTTTAGAAGTTGTTAGCATTTTTTTTTTTTTTTTTTTTTTTTTTTGCTCCTAGAATCTTAATAGTGTTATCCTATGTGTCCATGCACACTACTTTAGGCTATTATCTTTTTTTGAGCTTCAGTGTCTATAAAATCAATTTTTTTTTTTTCTGCTCTAGAGTTTTTTTTTTTTAACGTTTTTCCAACAGAAAAAAACGCTGAAGCTTTAGCCTAACTGCTACTAAAACACTTCTAACAGCTTTTTTTCTAGCCTTTATTTTTCCCTACATGTACTGTAAAAACACTTCTAAAATGCTACTTAAGTTTTTTTTTTACCAGCGTTTTTTGAGCTTAAAAAAAAAGCTAGTGTACATGAAGTCTAAAAATGTCCCCAGATACTTCACAAAAGTTGGACCCATTCCATTGCAGCTATTTGGGAACTACATTTCCACCCATGTTCTGCCAATTCATTCTAGATTCATAGAAGACTGACAGACTGAAGGTTTTTCAATTGTCTGAATTCTCAGCGGGAGTGATATGCAGGTTTATTTAATAAGGCAATATCTATGATTCAGTAATCCAGACACCAGCTGGTAGTAATCTTGCTTTGTTTCAACTGCTGTAAACCAGGGGCCTCCAAATTATGGCCCACGGGCTACATGTGGCCCACTACAAGAATTTATCTGGCCCACAGCTGATGTGCCCTGTCTGCTTCTCCACGTTCCCCAACAGCTCCCCTGGGGGCACTGATGCATAGAATACATGAAGGTAAAAAACCTTGAGCCTTTAGAACCACTTTAAGCTGACAATACACTTATCAAAATGTTTTCATTCAGCAGGGACTGGCCAAATTTCAGTTAGTATGTGTCAGTCGGATCTCGGCAGAAGTTGCTTGTTTGATCGGTGTATTCTGACTTTTTTTTTTTTTTTTTTTTTTTTCTTCACCCAAAAAACAGAAGTGTATGGCCAACTTAAGAGAACTGCGCAGCCAGGTGATGAGCTGGTGTTATCTCAGAGAAAAGGGAAGCCATAGAAAAGAGTAAAGGGTGTTACAGTGGATGCCATTGCTGTAACAACACATTTATTCCACCAGTATTTCATGACTAAATGATTAGCAACAGCAAGGGGAGTTTTGAGTAAAGGTTCAATTGCAAAAACAATTTCCAAATATCACTTTTGTGTATCAAGATCCAAGGGCTGCCATGCATGTTCACTTGTCAGCATTATAATGTCATTTACTGCTATGTTTTTGTTTTTTTTGTTTTTTTTTTTTACTTGTACTCAGTGCTCTTCTGTATGTGATTTGTAGACCTCATGGTATATATCACATGTAGTAAACTTTCCTCTTTTTGCTGTAAAGATAATCAGCACCCTGAAAGTTAGGTGATACACCCTGTTGAGCTTTACTTCTTATTAAACTCTTTTCTTTAGCCATTAACTTGGTTTTGAAATGAAGGTCCGGTCCTAAAGGTGACACTAACTTTTAAGTGGGAAGGGTAGTATACAGGCTGTAAACTGTTAGTGTGGTTAACTCTAGTTAGTAGAGTAGTGAGTATTCATTAGGAGGTAGGTAACTCAAGCAGCTGATAAAACAATCTCAGCAGTCTGACAACAGGAACATCAGCAGCTTCCCTTTAGGCTACTTTCACACTGATCTGTTGCAAAAACGCATATGCATTTTTGCCGTGTTTTTCCGCATTTTTTTATTGGACAAGTGACTCAAAAACTGCCTCAAACACAACGCGTGTGCATTTTTGATGCAATTTTACCGTGTTTTCAATTGATTTCAACATGGACGTGCGGCTTTTTTTGGTTTTTTTTTTTTCTGCACCAAGCCTACTACAAAAATGCAGCAAGCGGGATTTTAAAAAACGAGCTAGACCCGCAACAGATCAGTGTGAATGGTTCCATAGGAATATATCATCACATGTTTTTTCTTCTGCTTTTTTTTTTTTATCTAATGAAAAAGCGGAAGAGAAACAATCAGTGTGAAAGCAGCCTTAAGGCTTCATGCACATGGGCGCTTTTTCCCACTCTGCGAAAAGACCCTGCGCATATCTGGTGTTCGGGTGGTCTTAGAGCTTTGTAGCCCATAGACTTGAATTGATGTAGGCAGCTGTACGCAGCTAATAAAAAAAAAAAAAAAAAAAAAAAAAAAAAAAAAAGTGCACATTCACAAATGTAGTGCACCTAATGTGTGTTTGGTGCATTAGTTCTGTGTACTAATTTATGTGACTAGCAGCACATTGGTGCATATAGTCACCATCACCCATTCTGTATGCAGTTATAAGAGATCCCTGACGCCAGAAATACGCAGTTTCTTTACACTGTGCAGGCAAATGAGGCCCATGTGCACATAATTGAAAATGACATTTTTTATACACTAAGAATTTCGGCATAGCTGAAACTCCTATATATGTGTGTGACATCATCTTGGCCCAGCCAATGGAAACGGCAGGGGATTGATACCTGGAAGCTGCCGGGCTGAAGATGTCAGCAGAGTAGCTCCAAGGAATCACAGCGCTGGAGAACAGGTGAGTATAGTTCCGCTTTTAGATCTGTACAAAATCTGAGAAATTTATTTAGGCTGAATTTGCATGGTATATGTGCCGCCTCTGCTGATGGGAGGATTTAAAATGTATGTTAAGGCAAAAATAAAAAATTAGATATCTGCAATTCATGCATATTTCCCATGTCCCTGCAAATACAGGACTGTGTTGTCAGCTGAACATATGCAGCTTATGTAGTTCCTAGGCACACTTGCATACCATTGCAAGTGTTTGTGATCTTAGGTGAAGGTTATATAGCCAGGGGAGGGCATTTTTGGGGATCTAGCTAATGGCAGCCATACATAAAATTATTTTATATCTGATTTTATTGTATATCTGGACAATAAGTTTGTTGACAATACAGTCAATCAGAAAAATGTGCGTAAGGGCGAAAAGATTCTATGCGGCATACATTTATCATTCATATCAAATTGTCTACCTTGCTGTGATTTTGATTCTCTTTTTAGAGTGTTGTGAATAGTTTTTATTAAAAGAGAAGTGTGGGACCCTAAAAAAAATAAACATACTTGCCCACCTAGCTGGCTGCAGCATGGATCCGATGCTGCTGCTGGTTCTACACTGGAAACAAAGTGACAAAAGTCCATTGATCGCTCATTTCTTGGTCTTCAGGCTGCAGAGAGCTGGTGACTGTCAGTCACCTGCTCTGTGCTTTGCCCCTCCAGTGCTTACTGAAGTGTCAGGCTGTGGAAGGGGCATGAGTGACTGTCTCAGGTTCTTAGCAGTGCGCTGAAAGGCTGTGCCAATTGGCAGTCAGGCATCTGGGCAGATCCCAACATCCCTACAGAACCTGGATCAGCTCTGACATCTATTCCTCTACATTCGTTTAACTACATGCTGCAGCCATGAGCTTGGTGTCTTATCTTTTTAACAGCTGCTGACTGGCTGTTCAGTATAAGTGATCTGGGTGGCTCTACATCCACCTGATCACTTTTAATGTAGTGAAAAGGGCCACCCCTCTATGTTCCTCTGGGGAGCCTAGGACAATGGTAAATGGGCGGGATAGCAAGCTACAGAGAGGATTAAGAAATATCTGTTCCCCCTATCTCCTCTGTAATGAAGGCAGCATTTGCATGGGAGTTTTGGTGTGCTGCAAATCCCTGAATCTGAATCTACTGACTCCTGCTTGCAATGACAGCTGCATGTGAAGAGCCTGTACACTCAAATGACAGGCTGTTGGCAGCCACAGCTATTTGTGCCAGTTTATAATGATTGCAGCTGGATGCACAAAACTTTTTAGTATATCTGTTTACTCGACTCATCAGCTTTTATATTTACCAAGAAATTGGGTATTCTATTGTATTTGTGTGTACTAAAATTAATTTTAGTGTGCTTTTTCCTTAAATGTTGTTTGACAAAGGACTGCGCAAATATCACGTGACAGAAAAATATTCCAACAACCACCATTTGTTTCTCGGGGTTCTCTTCTTTCAGAAATAGTGTTTGGGAATTCTAAGTATTTTTTTTGCAAAATATGCTGAATTTAGCCTGTAAAAGCATTTATAATGTGAACATTTTTTTTAAAAAATTGCCCTAGATAGCAGGACATTGGGCCATGTGGCCTTCACCAGCTTGGCATAGTGGTCCCCAGTGTCGGCAGCCTTAAATCACTTTGTACCTGCTGATGTCAAGTCCACAGTGTGTGGCTGCCAACGCTTTAGGTTACATGACCCATACCTAAAGCATGAGCTGCTTATTACAGCAGAAGAGATGGTTAAGAATAATTGCCAGATCCATACAGATCATTCCTATATCCTCCTATGGCCAACTGTGCTTTTAGAACTGATGGTTTAGTGTTTGTGTGTGTGTGTATATACACACATAGTGCTCAGCATAAATGAGTACACCTCTTTTGAAAAGTAAGATTTAAATCAATATCTCAATGAACACAAGAACAGTTTCCAAATTTTTGACAAAATTGAGTTTTATTGAACATTTAATTAGCTTGGTACATGAAAATAAGGTAATAACTTAGATTAAAAAATGCAAAATTGAGTAAACCCTACAACAAAAAAACTACTACATCTAGTATTTTGTATGAGCTCCATGATTTGTAAGGACAGCACCAAGTCTTCTAGGCATGGAATGAACAAGTTGGCGACATATTGCAACATCTATTTTTTTTTCCCATTCTTCAAGAACGGCCTCTTTAGAGCCTGATGCTGGATGGAGAGTGATGCTCAACTTAACTTTAGAATTCCCCATAGGTGTTCAATTGGGTTCAGATCAGGAGACATACTTGGCCCCTGGATCACTTTCACCCTGTTCTTCAGAAATGCAACAGTGGTCTTAGATGTGTGGTTTGGATCATTGTCATGTTGGAAAAGTGCACGACAACCAAGGCCACATAGTGATGGTAGCATCTCCTCTTTCAATATAGAGCAGTACTTCTGAGAATTCATGATACCATCAATAAAAAGCAGCTCCCCGACACCAACAGCACTCATGCAGCCCCACAAAAGGACACTGCCACCATTGTGTTTCACTGTAGGCACCATGCATTTTTCTTTGTACTCCTCACCTTAGCTAGTGGTGGTCTAGACAATGGCACCCTGACTGCCATTCGGTATCGGGATGAAATCCTTGGACCCATTGTCAGACCCTACGCTGGTGCAGTGGGTCCTGGCTTCCTCCTGGTGCACGACAATGGCCGGCCTCATGTGGTGAGAGTATGCAGGCAGTTCCTGGAAGTTGAAGGAATTGATACCATTGAATGGCCCCCACGCTCGCCTGACCTAAATCCAATAGAACACCTTTGGAATATCATGTTTTGGTCCACCCAACACCGGCAGGTTGCACCTCAGACTGTCCAGGAGCTCAGTGATACCCTGGTCCAGATCTGGGAGGAAATACCCCACGACACCATCCGTCATCTCATTAGGAGCATGCCCCGACGTTGTCAGACATGCATACAAGTACATGGGAGCCATACAAACTACTGAGGACCATTTTGAGTTGCTGCAATGAAATTTCAGCAAAATTCACTAGCCTGCTGCATCCTTTTCAAAGTGTTCCTTCAATTTTTTGAAGGTGTGTTTTGTGTGTGTTTTGTGTGTGTGTTTTGTGTGTGTTTTGTGTGTTTTTTGTGTGTGTGTATGTATATATATAGATAGATATATCCTAAAATATAGATGAAACCTACTTTTACCTATAGCTGTTTCAGACTTTCATCAGTGCTGGAAATCATGTTTTTGAAGCAGAACCTAGTGATCCAGTAAGTAACAAGTTTTGGTCAGGTGTGCTACAAGAATTAAAGACCACTACTAATATACTTCGAAGCACAGTGCGTTGGAATATAAGTAGTTGAACTGGTTGGCATTTTTTTTTTTTTTTTTACAGTCCTTTTATACAATGTTGTGTCATCAGTGTTCCTGTGCTCGTTTTTTACTTTTGCTGTGTCCTTGGCAGAGCTTGCAAAGTCAGATTTCCTACATGTGGCGGAGAACACCTGGAGAGTCCTAAATGTGCTGTCCAATGGAATACAAACTGGAGGGGTTACAAAGATTGCAAAGTCTGTCATTGCTCCCCTGGCTGAGCATAATGTGTCTGTGCTGATGCTCTCCACCTATCAAACGGACTACATTCTGGTAAGATGCTTAATACTATACAATGGGTCGCAGACATACACCAAGATAGATTTAAAAGTAAAAAACAATACAAATCTGTTTTAGCACCTGGTTTACTGAGTAAAGATAAATTATGCTGATTAATAGCAGCAGAGGTGATGTCACCTTTCCTCCGTATAGTAGAGTTTTCAGCAGAATAGTACTGTACATGACTGTTTATGGCAGGTGGCTAGAGCTTACATGGCAGAGTAGAGGTAGGATGAAGGTGTTTTCACCTGCCAATGCATAACATGTCCAGATTAACCACTTTCCCTCCATCCTATAGCAGTTATACTGCTACAGGGCGGCTCTCCTGTGCAGAATCATATGTATGTATGTATTTTTGCATTTCCGCCTCACGGGGGGCGAGCGCGCGCCGCTGGCGGATTGCTTCTGCTGTGAACTGCCACCGCTGAAGGCGATCTGCGAGTTCAGGTAAATGGATCTTCACCGGCACCCACAGATGGTCGGGCAGGGAGGAAGAACCTAGCTGTGCCTATATTTACATAGGCACAGCTGTGTTGTGACAGGAGAAAGTGACCCATCATGTGTCCCTGCAGAGCTGATCCATTTCCTCTTGTACCAGCACCATCTATTGTACACCAAGCACATACCTAGGCACACAGTTAACCCTTTGGTCACCCTAGATCAGGGTCTCTCAACCAGGGTTCCTCCAGAGGATGCTAGGTGTTCCTTGAGCAATGAGAAATTTCTACCTCTCAGATAAGTTCCCACTGACACCATTGATCTTTTTAGCTATCTTTAAATGGGTAATTCTTCCCAGTAACCACAAGTATAAGGAGCATTCTTCCCACTGATCATCACATTGATGTATCATGAGTTGTAGATATAATAATTTTTAGCAGGGGTTCCCCCTGAGACTTGAAAGTTATCTTAGGGGTTCTTCTGTCTGGAAAAGGTTGTGAGAGACTGCCCTAGATGTTAACCCTTCCCAACCAGTGTAATTGCTACAATGATCAGTGTATATTTTTAGCGCTGACCACTGTGTTAGTGTCACTGGTTCCCACAAAATGTCAGTGTGAAAATGTCTGCAATATCGCAGTTTCCCTATAAGTCGCTGATCGCCGCCAGTACTAGTAAAAGAAAAATGTAAAAAAATTCCACTATATGTCCCATAGTTTGTAGACGCTATAACATTTGTGCAAATTAATCAATATACACTTATTGGTATTTTTCTTTATCAAAATATGTAGCAGAATACATTTTGGCCTAAATTTTATGAAGACATTTGATTTTTTTTTTTTAATTTTAATTAAAAAAAACTATTTGTTTTATGGTAGGAAATAAAAAACATTGACTTTTTTTTTTTTTTTTTTTTTTTTAATTCTCAGAGTTTTTTAATTTTATAACGCAAAAAACTGCAGAGGTGATCAAATGCCACCAAAAGAAAGCTCTATTTGTGGGGGGGAAAAAGGACATCAATGTCATTTTGGTACAGTGTTGTATGACCGCGCAATTGTCATTTAAAGTAATGCAGCGCCGTATTGCAAATAAATGACCTGGACAGGAAGGGGGTAAATCTTCCGGAGGGCAAGTGGTTAATAGATCAATTGCAGACATACCTGTTGAAGCACCCTTAGGTGCAAGAGATAAGGATTTGGGCAATGCTTGCAATAATCAAGTTATGTAGATGTTAACCTTGGCTGGATTTTTTTCTGGTGTATTTATCTTATGAGGCGTCTTTCCTTACTTTCTGTGTACTAGAGGGTGGCTGATAGGGAAATACTTCAAGTATTAATCAGAGATTTGGGTCAATGGCTCTTCAGTTGATTACATTCGGCCATCAGTGTTTCCTTACATGAAGGTTTTTCATAGGAATATATACAGTTCTACAGCACTACCAGTAAGCTGAGCTGTCAAGCAAGTCCCATCTGTCATGGCAGGACTGGGGGGTTGGGGAGATTTCCCTCTCAGTAAAGGGCTTAATTACATAAGAGATATTCATCTATTCATGTTGCCTATAATCACTGTTAAGAACTGATCTGATAGCTTAAACTGATGAGTTAAATTGGTATTCATGTTTTTCTAAATCATATAAAAAGAACATATCTCTGCTTATTTTTTTTTTTTTTTTTTAAATTTCCTCATTTTTATTTGCATCCTGGCTCCCTGTAGTACAGAGCAGGAACGTACACAAAACTGCTTCGGTCCCGGTGCCACAGAGAACAGGAATATAGCAGCATGGACAGGGAACGTTTGAAAAAGGAAGCTTCAGTGAGGAAATTAGGAAGAAAAAAAAAACACGGTTTAATATGCATGTTAAATACATGCATACCTCGGTTTACGAATTTAATTTGTTCTGCAGGACTTTTCGTATAACTAAAAATTTGTAAACCAAAACGCCATTTCCCATAGGGATGCATTGAAAAACAATCCGTTCCGGAGGCCAGAAAAAAGTAAACGCTACTAAAATACAGCACGAGTTATTTTATCAAGTCATGCGGTATTTTAGAAGTGACAACCATATGTTAATGTTTCATCTGTCAGCGGGGCTCCCTACTGACAACTGAATGTGTAAAAGAATTGCTGGCAATTAAAAAAATTATTTACAAAATGGCGTGGGGCCCCCCTCCCATTCATACGAAGCCCTTTGGGGTCTGGTATGGATTTTGAGGGTAACTCCCACACCATTAATGATGTCACATGGGGCGGGGTCCCTCGGGTGATGTCCCCCGGTGGCACCGCCCCCTACCTATTTAAGAACTGTCAAACCACCGGAGCAGGCAGCAGGCTGGAAGCCATCATCGGAAGCAGAGCCTTTTTTTTTTTTTTTTTTTTTTATATTATTTTTTGGTCGGCAGCGGCGGTGACAACGGGCATCGTGATTGACGTTGGATCTACTGCGGGCGACATTCTTTTAGTTTTTTCTTTTAATAAAGGACTTGTCATAGACTGTGCCCTGTCTTTTTTTTTTTTCACATTACACTTTTAGTTTTTTTTTTTATTATGGTGACGGTTTTTAAATGTAATTACCGTTTTTTTTTTGTTTTTTTTGTTTTTTTTTTCTTCTTTACTATAGCTCAGAAATTCAACTGTCACTTTCCCCCCAAGTTAAAATAAAGTTTTCTTTTAGTTTTTCCCTGAGTTAAGAGAAACAATGTTTCCTTTTTAGATTCTTAAAAGAAACAAAAGTTTTCCTTAACTCCAGGGAAAGTGACAGGTAATTTTGTGAACTATAGTGAAGAAAAAAATTTGTAAACCGAGGCATTATTTTTAATGGATTTTTATTCGTAGACCGAAAATTACATTAACCGAGGCATTTATAAACCGAGGTATTACTGTATGTTTTTTTTATCTGGTTTAGGGAAAAAAGATTTGCCCTTAACACCACTTTACAAGCAAGCGCAATGATCTGTACCACCCTAGTTTTTTGTTCTTTAAGTGGTATTAAACCCAAAATGTAATATTTTGCAGCTTACCAATCCTTAGATATGTCTGCAATAGTTCCTCCTATATGAGGTTTGAGTAACTGTTGAATTTAGAGTGAAACGTATCAACTTTTTAATGCTCCTGTCATACCTGTGATATCATTTTAGTGCTTCAATAGATATACCAAGGAGTGCTGCAATATTCTAGATTTGTGCTTGTTATTTGCAGGAGAGCTAGTTCATTTGATAAACAGACTTAATGGTCACCGGGGTAAAAATAATGGAAAGAGAGCCCAAAAAAGAACTAATGCAGCCATCACATCTAAGAATTGGTAAGCTCTGTGCTTTGGCACACTTCCCCTGCAATGCACATCTAGCTCTTAGTGATGTGTAATGCTTTGTGGGATGGATGCGAGAAGGGGGCTGTTAGGAATCTTACCTTTTAGAGTTAGAAGTTGCCTTTGCCAATTGAACTTGATCCTGTCAGAAGTTCAGAGCTGTCCTATGTATACTTTGGTATAAATGCTGTCTACTCCACTTTCTTGAACTACAGAACACTTCTACGCTATGTTTTAGATGAAACAGGACATTTTATAGTTCAACAAAAGACAAGCAGGCAGGGCTGACACATATATATATATTTTTTTCTTCAACTCGCTCTCAATTAAAACCGAGGTAAACTGCACTTGTAGTTTTTTGCTTTAGGTCTATTCATGCATTAGCTCTGTGTTACTGAACTCATGTAGTGTTAGGATAGCCTGTTCATTTTGAATGGGCTGCCCATACACCACAATGCCGCCATAATCAGTCCTGACCCATGACAAGTTTACCTGTCAAGAGGACCTCCTGGTGGACTTTGAGGCAATAACCCAAAATATTCATGCAGATAATGTATTGTGACTTTAATAAAGTTCATAATCTGTATACTTTTTCCAGGTGAAAGCCTCAGAAAAAAAAATGAAGCCAGGGAGCATAATAGATAGTCAACTAGCTAGAATTTGAGAGACGTCTACAATAGCATCACATCCTCTGTGGTTTTACTCCGAAAAGGTTTACATGAACAAAAGCAGTAAAAACCTGGTGGGGGATGGAACCTTGCCTAAAACAATTCCAAATTCTAAAATGTGGGTGAGGTTCTACTTTAACCAGGTAGTGTAGCTGAAGAGACTATATTAGCAGCTGGAGCTTAGACATTAATCAAAGTTTTATATTTGGAGATTAAACTGTAGACAAAACTGTCCCACAGTGATAAATTGCACTCCTGGGAGAATGAATACCTTTGTCCGGATGAGATCACAGTTCACTAAGGAACATTTATACCAGTCTTAGAAATTAGAGTAACTTTTTCCCCTGGTTTTTAAAAGTATGGCTTTTGTACATTTTTTTTTTTTTTTGCAGTCTCTATATATTTTATATAACTTTAGCAGAAGGTCTGTTTAGAAATGCAGTTTTTATGGCACCAGAGTATGATCCCCTTCCTTTCAGGCTTCACCGCAGGCCTCTGGAGATATTCCTTCCAGGTTCTTCAATCTACCTTCCATGTCAAAGAATGTGCAGTGCAATCACACCCCTTCTGGCAGTGCATGGGTTATA